TATTTATTTATTTATTTATTTATTTATTTGTTATTTATTTATTTACTTATTTATCTATTTGTTATTTATTTATGTATTTATTTACTTATTTATGTATTTATTTGCTATTTATTTATTTATTTGTTATTTATTTATTTATTTGTTATTTATTTATTTGTTTATTTTTTATTTATTTATTTATTTATTTTGTTGCTGCTGCGGATTACCTGCAGGAGTTTTATGTGGAGCTGCTGAAGGCCTCAGCAGCAGCAGGAGACGGCGAGTGAGCCAAGTCCCAAACCCTAAACCCTAAACCCTAAATTGTGGTTTTCAAGCCCTGTTCCTCAGCTGCAGTCCCTGAAGGGTAGTTTAGCAGGGACCTCGCGAGCCCACTTCCCCACTGCTGCTTTGCCGAGGGTTCGCCAAAAAGGGTTTAGGGTTTGGGGTTTAGGGTTTAGGGTTTAGGGTTTAGGGTTTGTGCCGAGCAGGGTGGAGGCGGCCACGTTGACTAAGGAAAGGGCGCTGCTCTCGAAGAAAAGAAAAGCAGGTCCGCAGCTCAAACCCGTCTCTAGGGTCTAGCTCTAGGGTTTAGGGTTTAGGGTTTAGGGTAGGGTTTAGGGTTTAGGGTTTAGGGTTTAGGGTTTAGGGTTTGTGTGCAGCCAAGATTGTGGACCGGCGCGCGTCTAAAGGCCGCAAGATTCGCTACAAGCCGATCCCTGAGCTGGAGAGTTTCATGGTGAGGGAAATAAACAATAAGAAACAGTAAATAAGCAAATTAGGGTTTAGGGTTTAGGGTTTAGGGTTTAGGGTTTAGGGTTTGTTCGCAGACTTCCGTCCCCTGGGTCCCGAACACCGAAGCCCTTCCAGGAGCCGACGACCCCCTTGTGGTGCAGGGCATAATCAACAACCTTTTCAGAGCTAGCTAGCTAGCTAGCTAGCTAGCTAGCTAGCTAGCTAGCCATCTGGTTAGCTGGCTAGCTGGCTAGCTAGCTAGCCAGCCATCTGGCTAGCTGCGTAGCTAACTAGCTAGCCATCTGGCTAGCTGGCTGGCTAGCTAGCTGGCCATCTGGATAGCTGGCTAGCAAGCTAGCTAGCCACCCGGGTAGCTGGCTAGCTGGCTAGCTAGCCACCTGGCTAGCTGGCTAGCTAGCTAGCTAGCCATCTGGATAGCTGGCTAGCTGGCTGGCTAGCTAGCTAGCTGGCTGTCCGGCTAGCTATCTGGCTAGCTAGCTAGCTGGCTATCTGGCTAGCTAGCTCTCTAGCTTTCTGGTGAGCTGGTTAGCTAGCTGGCTACCTGGGCAGCTAGCTGGCCAGCTGGCTAGCCAGCCCGAGAGGCTAGGCTAGCT